AATAAGCATATAGTTCTAGTAGTAGGTTTCATTATGCATTTTATTGTCCTGTACTGCCATCTAGAGAGTGTCATGCACTATGACATCAGTATCAGGAATATACTGTGGCAAAAATGCTGCAGCTTTTGGGGAGTTTGTACATAGTGGGGCCATTGTCTCTATGCAAGGCTCCTCCAAGTGGAAGAAACCCCACTTTAATGTCCTGGAACCCAGAGCTTTGATCCTGCTTTCTTATGGCACAACACGTTTGGTGAAACAGTGGGCAGCTCATGCCTTTGGTTATATTGCTGCTTATATAAGGTGTGCTCATTCTGCTAATGACGGTGCCCAACGCTGAGCACAGTAGAGCCTTTTAAAGTTCTTTCCAATTATTTATATTGAACAGCAGCCTTTTTTATGCCATACACTATTAATTTGGTTTTACTTAAATATCCCAATTTGATGGGGCCAACATTTATTGAACTTTCTTGAAGAAGCATCTTTATTAATTATGTGCTTGTACTTGGTGACGTGATGACAGGCAAAACTGGCTAAGATCCTGTTGGTCAGTTCCAACGACTCACTGTGAGTCAACATTCTTTCAACTGTCCTGATTTGACACTCCCAACAAGTCCTCTCCCATTCCAACTTTTTGGCTGCGCTTAAATTGTCTCAGTTTCAGTCTCCTCCTACTCCTTTCCCCCTTTACCTTTGTCTTACTTCAACTGATGTAAACTTTTCTCAATATATGTGAAAGGGCCGACTTTGGCACAGCAGTTTAAACACCAGCTATAGTCAATCTTGTCAGTCAAAAGGCTGCTAGTTTGAAGCCGGGTCAGGGTGAGCTCCTGGTTTTTAGCCCAGCTTCTGTCTACCTAGCAGTTCAAAAGCAAAAAACGTGATTAGATTAATAGGCACTGCTCATAAAAAGGAGAGATATTCTGAGGCATCCAGAAAGAATGCCGGTGATCCAATCCAAAGGGAGGAAGCTACGAATTAGGTCTTCGCCTCCCCCCCCCCTTCACCTTGGCCGGAAGCGAGCACAACACCTTCCAAGATGCTGAAAGATGAGGAAAGACTTATCTATCTGTCCATCCATCCATCCATCCATCCATCCATCCATCTATCTTTTCTATGTATAACTTCATTTCTAGTTCTGTATAAAGTGGCATTAAATGTTTGCTGCATATGTATGTTCTGTGATCCGCCCTGAGTCCCCTTAGGAGCGAGAAGGGTGGAATATATATACTGTAAATAAATAAATAAATAAATAAATATAGAAAAAGTAGTTTTTACTTGATTAACTCAGCAGGAGAGAGATAAGAGGATGGGACATAATGCTGGCTTTTCCAAGGGAGCTCATTCCTTGTTTATCTAGTAAAAGAGTGAATAAACCTTCAGGTCATCTCTGGCTGCCATTTGAGGATTGTCCTAGATCCTGGGGTTTCCAGGCCAGGACCTTAAATCAACAGGCTTTGGTGGAAATGCTTTGTTGTTGTTAACTGCCATCAAGTTGACTTTGACTTATGGCGACCCCACAAATGAGAGGCTTCCAGTTGCTTTGTACACCAGTTTATATTGATCATCTGGTTGTTAAAGTCCATAAATAACAAGGTCTTGGGATACTTTGGGGTCTTTTTTTTTTTGGATGTATAGTTTAAGTTGAGCCCTTTCTTTCTGCTGAAGTGGTTACATCATTACCTAACAAAGGCTTTCTATGGGCTATTTGAATGTGGGTCTTCTTCTGCCTCTCTACAATTACAAGGAAAGCTGCAGACTTCTGCTTTTTAAAAAGGGCAGAGATTAGTAATGCCAATAAAAAAAATCATGTCAGGAGTGACTTGAGAAACTGCAAGTCTCTTCTGGTGTGAGAGAATTGGCCATCTGTAAGGATGTTGCCCAGAAGACGCCTGGATGTTTAATGTTTTGCCATCCTTGTGGGAGGCTCCTCTCATGTCCCTGCATGGGGAGCTGGAGCTGATAGAGGGAGCTCAACCCACTCTCCCTGGATTCGAACCACTGACCTGTCGGTCAGCAGTCCTGCCAGCACAAGGGTTTAACTCATTGCACCACCGGGTGCTCCTTATGTCAGTAAATGATATTGTAGATTAATATGACTCCAGACGTGAGATTTGAAAAAAGCAAGAACACCTAACAGTCTCCAGTGATGTGCAAAATAAAAAGATTTAGTTCATATGCTACCGTATATTCCCCCAGGTAAATGTAATGCCAGATGCTTCCCATGAAGAATGGGCAGCTGCCATACTATACAAGTGGACCTCAATGCAGGCTGATGGAGTTTATTTGCATTAACCTCCTATATAATCATGATCATATCAATATCACAAGTCTTTCAACACAAACCTTACTTTGTTACCTAGAAAACATAATGACCTGTATAAAAGTAATGGGCAGTTTAGACAAATGATGAAGATTGATGGTACACTCATTGCCTTGAAAGAGAAATCATTCCAAACAGTTACAGTCAGCTATCATTCAAGTCTGCTGTGACACGAAGTTCTCTTTCCTAATCAGATCTGGACACTTTAAATCTAGTTTGCTGTTCTCTGCATTTCCTTTGTGTTTTGCCCTAAGACAGCAGCAAATTTCTGCTGTCATCCTTCATTGCTTGTTATTTCTTTCTAGCTTTCTTTTTGCTTTGTAAACTATCAGGTTATTCCCTTCCTTCCTTGGCAGTGATTAGCCCATGACTATTTCCTATGCTCTTGGGCCAAACACTGCTCTTTGTAGATCTATTCTAAATCTAGAGATGCTAAGATGTTGGTCTGGGTAAACAGTTAATTGTCTCCAAGTTGCCATTTGCTAAAGAAAACTCTACTTAGAAAAACCTCATGACAGTTCATTACGCTGCCAGGGAAGGGGAAGTGGGGGTCAAGGATTTTTAGGCTGACACACAGTAAGCCCTTTCATTAGGGAATCTTGATTTCTTGCTACTTATTCAGAGTTTTATTCACTGAGGAGGGTTACTGAAAGAACAACCAAGAGAACATACTTTCCCCCTTGCTTATTTTTGTATAGGTCAGATGTGAGTAATTTCAATTTGCAGCACATCACATGAGGGGACCGAGTGCTACTAATTAAGGATGTTCAGTGTTGCTTCAATTATTTATCAGTCTAAGAAGGGCAATTGGTTTTGCATCCAAAGAGTAAAGTATCTCTAAATGTCCCAGTAGACAAATAAATACGTGGGGCATTGTATCAATAATGGTAAATTTAGTAATAAATTTTAATTTAGTATGAGTAGCAAAGTTGTTACTAGCATGAGCTATAAGGCAGGAACTCCCCGACTGAAATGACAGCACTCATTAGATGACTTTCAGCAATGTCCTACATCAGTGGTTCTCAACCTGTGGGTCCCCAGATGTTTTGGCCTTCAACTCCCAGAAAACCTAACAGCTGTAAACTGGCTGCAATTTCTGGGAGATGTAGGGCAAAACACCTGAGGACCCATGGGTTGAGAACCACTGCCCTACTTTGATAAGACCTGATGGAAAGTAAAGTCAATGTGATGATGACAAACTCATCTTTTAAAGCAGTGTTTCTCAAACTCAAATTCGTAACAGCTAGTAAGCTGGTTGGGCTTTCTGGGAGCTGAAGCCTAAAACATCTGAAGGAGCAGAGTTTGAGAAACACTGTTTAAAGAAATGGAGCTCTATGGCCTACAAAATTACAGCACTGTGATTCTGCTATACCATAGGAGTATCCTGTGGAATCCCGTGGTTGCAATTTAGGATTCTCAACTCTAGTGCCTCAGCAAACTACAAATCCCAGGATTCCATTTGATTTTTTTTATTGTGTCAGAAGCAACTTGAGAAACTGCAAGTTGCTTCTGGTGTGAGAGAATTGGCCATCTGCAGAGATGTTGCCCAGCGGATGACCGGTTATGTTACCATCCTGTGAGAGGCTTCTCTCATGTCCCCACATGGTAAACTGGAGCTGATAGATGAGAGCTCACACTGTCTCACAGATTTGAACCACCGACCTTCATGTCAGCAGTTCAGCCGACACAAGGGTTTTGCACCACAGTGGCTCTATTCCATTGGATGTTGCCATGGAAGTTAAAGTAAAATCAAAACGTTATGATTATGAAGTGAAAAAGGGTCCTGGAGGTTGAACCAGAAGGAACCTGAAGACTTTTCCACACTACACAATTAAAGTGTTATGGTTCTCCATTAATCGCAATGACAAGATTCAGTAAAATCCAGGAATTCATAGTTTAGAGAGGGACATTTAAAATGTTCATCCAGCGAACTACTCTACTTTCCTCCCAAACTATAATTTCAGGCATCCACAAGGTATTGTCATGACAGCCAATGTAGACTATAGCACTATTGTTCTATTGTCTTATTTTACATGATGTGTTTAATCATGTTTAATGTTTTATTAGGGGAGGGTCAATTTTAATGTTTTATACTGTTTCTATTGATTGCATTGAATTGTTGCCAACACTGTGAACCTCCCTGAATCCCCTTCAGGGTTGAGAAAGGCAGTATACAAATATTTCAAATAAATAATAAATAAATTGTATGAAAGGGCCCCTTGCATACACAAAGCAGAGTGTGAGTGGGGCTAATCCACACCTTGGCTTACCTCCCTAGAGTATTTTTCCCAACCTGGCTTTCCCCTCAATTGAGATGTTCCAGAAATGGTGGGGGAAATAGGATAGATGGCTTGAACCATACAAATATTTAGCAGGTTCGGGTTGCCCAATGAAACACGGAGAAGGGGCATTTCTCCCGAACTGCCTGAATTGTATTGTTTGTTGCAATTGGAGTGGGTTCATTGAATCAAAATTGGAGTCAACATGTTCACTCAATCAAGACTGAAAGGATTCAGACCAATATACAGTGTAGTACAAGAACGTCATTTGGGTGTGTGTGCATATATATATATATATATAGAGAGAGAGAGAGAGAGAGAGAGCTGAAAATACATTAAGAACTTCCACAATCATTTGGCACCTTCAGGGGAGCCTTATTTCGGAGATCTTTGCCACATACCTTGCTCACAGTGGACCCCAGTGGTCCCTAATGGACAATGGCAGGAGTATCCATCTGGCAGGGGAACACAAGTAGAGCCTTGTTGACATTTGGGCAAAGGGTTGTGCTCAGGGTCACACACAGAAATGGTCTCTGTGCAGAATGCCCCTTTCCAGCCAGTGGGGCACCGGCAGCTAGCATGTCGACAAAAGAAGGAAAAAGAAAATAAAAAAGGACAGGATTAAGAATTATTATTATTATTATTATTATTATTATTATTATTTCATGCATTTCTACTAGGCCTGGGTAACAACGCAAAAATTTGTTTCTAAAATCGATTTGTAATTGGGGGTTTTTTGCGTTTCGATATTTAAAATAATTACAAAATTTTCCTTTGAAAAAGTTCAGTATTTACGAAATTTCGTTAATTTCGTTAATTTCGTTTTTAGAATATTTTTTGAATTTTTTTGAAATATTTATTTATAAATTTTTTTGAAATATTTAAAAATGGAAAATTAACAATGCTTGCCCTGTTGTGGAGCGAACACAGCCACAGGACAGGGACAAACTCACACACACAGGCACACAAGGGTCTTTTCTTTTTTTAGAATATTTTTTGAATTTTTTAAGAATAAAAGAAAGATATTTTTCAGAAATATTTAAAAATGGAAAATTAACAAAATGCTTGCCCTACCCTGTTGTGGGGCGAAAACAGGGCAAAGCCTCCCCGCTGCTCCCAGCAATGAATGAATGAATGAATGCAAGCACAAGCAATGAATGAATGAATGAATGAATGAATGCAAGCAAGCAGCCAAGACAGAGCCAACCATCAAGCCTCCCTCCCGCACCTCCCGTCTCCTTCGCAATGAGCAATGCGGCCACGCGGAGCCGCTTTTAAAGGGCAGCCCGCCCAATAACAATGAGCCACGGTGCTTGGGAGCGCCGGATTGGCTCCCGGCGCACCCAGCATCCTCCATCCCTAAAACGTCATTTCCGAAATGGGCGGAAGCCCGTAAAAAAGATGGAGGATGCCGTTTCGATATTTAAAAACACTTCCGGGTTTGAAAATATGTTTTGTAATCGTTTTGTAATTGCTAAAAATAACGAATATTTAACGAATTACAAAATTAACGAACGAAACCGCCCAGGCCTAATTTCTACCCCGCCCTTCTCCCCCCAAAGGGGGACTCAGGGTGGCTTCACACATGCATCATGTGATGCTATCAGCATATAAACAACAAAGATTACAGTTAAAACAGTAAAATAATTAAAACACATTATACAAATTCATTAAACAAGTTCATTAAACAATAAATTAAACATGCCAATCAAAACCAAGACCAAGTCAGGGTAAATCTAATGTTGCAGATGTCCTAAATTTTCTTTCCAATTGCCGCTGTCCACTAATTGAATGCCTGGTCCCAAAGCAAAGTCTTCAATTGTCTTCTAAAGGATAGGTGGTAGATGGCGAGCCTGATGTCCTTAGGGAGGGAGTTCCAGAGAGGGGAGGCCACTGCCGAGAAGGCCCTGTCTCTTGTCCCCACCAACGGCATTTGCGAAAGTGGTGGGATCGAGAGCAGGGACTCTCCTGACGATCTTAAGCTTCATGATGGTTTGTAACAGGAGATATGTTCGGACAGGTAATCTGGGCCAGAACCCTTTAGGGCTTTAAAGGTTAAATCCAGCACTTTGAATTGTGCTTGGAAGCTGATTGGCAGCCAGTGGAGCAACCGTTCCGGTGAGCAACCTGGCTGCCGACCGTTGGACTAGTTGAAGCTTTCGAGAAGTCTTCAAAAGCATCTCCACATAGAGAGTGTTGCAGTAGTCTATTTGGGATGTAACCAGAGCGTGGACCACCATGGCCAAGAAGTGCCAACTTGTATGGTACAAGTAAATAGAAATGAAAATGAGGGGTTTGGGGCAGAGAAGCAGTGATGTTTAACTTTGCTCAATCCCTGTTTTCACTTGAGAGTCCCTGAAAACTCCATTTTTAAAAAAGCAAATTTTGCCCCTACTACTGTATTATAGCCTTTATGAGTATTGGTTTGGCCTAGTGGGTGGGGAAACCCTAAGATTTTGTACTTTCTGATTGAGTTCAGAGGAGAGAGAGAAGTGTAATTGGAGCTGGAGAAGAGTTGTTGTTTACAAGCCCTTTCTAGCATAAATAAGGTAGTGGTATTTTCCGTTGTATATGTAGAAGGGGATAAAGGCTGCATTCTTTGCAGTGTAATTTTTGTATTCCCCATGCTTCTATTTTCTATTTTTTGGGGGTTTTAATGTTGTACCAAATGTTGCTGAGCACCAAAGGCAGAGTGGCTTGCAGTTCTGCTCTGTGTTTCGTGCACATGTCTAGGAGTAGCTGGCATTATGAAGAAATTACCGAGGTAATTGAAAATACATTAAACACATTTAAAATAATGGATTTCTCCCAACGTGGGAACAGAGATTTGACCTGATATTAAATATTACGTGAAATTTACCTTTTGAAAACCAAGAGGGAAATGGTGTGCAATGATGTACCTATTTAAGTAAGTGGTATCGTCCCCATAGCAACAGGCTCTTCCATTTCAATGCACTGCACACAATAGCACAATGTTTCTGTCATAGTGAAGCATTCTCTCAAACCCCAGGAGGAAATTATTTCTAGGAGCTTAAAAGGATGCCTGAAAACAAATAGGGATTCTCAGGGGGACAGAGCTTAACAGGGCAGGGAACAGGAAGAAAGACATTGATGGCTCTTCTACTCCCAGGAAATGTGAAATCTTACCCATGTTTGACAAGAGGCATTCATACAGTTTCACATTGGTATTTAACTTCAATTGAAACAAAGGTAACTGGGGAATAAGCTGATCAATTAATAACAGTGGACACAAGAGAAAGGATGTCCTAGCACAGTAGCCTTTGATGGGTTCAACATCATTGAGAGTGGAAAATCTATTCCAGTTCTTCATCTGAACACTGGAGGTGTTATCCAAGGTGCTGAAAGCTATCTTAAGGTTCAACAACATGAACGGCTCTTTCAAAGTGCAGGGCAAGTCATGAAGCAGATTCATCCAGTATGAATCAGTAGGAAACAACTATTGCATGGCAACTCCTAGGTGGAGATATCTTCAACAAAAAGCAAAATGGAGCCCCCGGTGGCATAGTGGGTTAAACCGCTGAGCTGCTGAATTTGCTGATTGAGAGGTCACAGGTTCAAATTCGGGGAGCAGCATGCACTCTCACTGTTAGCCCCAGTTTCTGCCAACTTAGCAGCTCAAAAACATGCAAATGAGAGTAGATCAATAGGTACCACTCCGGTGGGAAGGTAACGGCACTCCATGCAGTCATGCTAGCCACATGACCTTGGAGGTGTCTATGGACAATGTCGGCTCTTTGGCTTAGAAATGGAAATGAGCACCAACCCCCAGAGTCGGACACAATTAGGTTTAATGTCAGGGGAAAGCTTTACCTTTACCTACCCTGACCAGCAATAATTTTTTTAAGTTGGTGTATGAGGCTGATGACCTTCCTGATGTCAAACAAAAAACTTGTGTTGTCCCTCAAACATTAGCTTTGCTGTCTGGGGTTCAGTTCGAGTTGAAGCTCAATATCATCTGGTTTAAAAAAGGAGGTAGAGGTCTTTTACAGCCTTGCTGCCTCTAAAGTTTCATCAGTATGATTTGCCCCCAGTCAAACTTGAGCTCCTTCAACATATGATCCTGTTTCTGACTCCAGATTATCTGCTTTAACTGGATAATATGCCAGTGTAGACTCATATAACCCAGTTCAAAGCAGTTAATCTGCATTCAGAAATTGGATTATATGGCAGTGTAAGATCCAGCCTCGGAGATAAAAGTTTAGGTGGTGAATGCTTAGGCCAGGATGGAGTTAAGTAAGTATGGCAAGAATAGACAACTTCAATGAATTTTGGAGCCAACTCAATAGCAACATCGTGGACAGCCAAAAATGCTCCAAAGCAGACAAGCAATTAAGGCTTCCAGGATAAGTAGATCACATTTTTTTCTTGACCAAAAAAGAGCAAGCCAAGAGAGTCTGAGGTTGGGGTCTGCAAAAATAGCATTGGGAAGGACACCTGCACTCCCAAAGTCACACCTTATAGTTTCTACTATAGAGACTAATAGATGAACATACATCCATGTATTACTCTTTATAGTAGAGGCCAATGCAGAGACTATAACATGTGGTTCTGGTTCGAGGAATGACAGAAATGCATAGCCTGATATATTTGAGGAGCACAAAGAGAGTGTCCTCATGTTGATCAGGCTCGTCTATGTTGATCGGGCTCGTCCCCAAGGAAGCCACCCTGAGTCCCCTTGGGGAGATGAAGGAAGGGTACAAAAATAAAGTTATTCTATTATTATTATATTATAAAACTTACTAAAGGGTAGAGCCACTTTCTAGACATGTCCCTCCATTTTTGCATTTTATCAGTTGGCATGGAGACTCTTCACACTGCCCTACATTGCGACCAGCATTGGGATGGCCTTCTGGGATCCCTGGTGCTTTAAACTTCTGAGCCCTCCCAGAGCGGACCTGAATGTAAAAAATGCATCCTGAAAGAAAGAAAAAAACAAAGAAAGAAAGAAAAAAGAAAAAAGAAAGAAAGAAAGAAAGAAAGAAAGAAAGAAAGAAAGAAAGAAAGAAAGAAAGAAAGGGTTTAAACGCTTCAAAGAAAAATGTATGGTACAGATAAGCATCTTTTCACATCTTTTCACAGAATCTACTTTGTTTTTCTTTTTGGTTTCGAGAATGCCACAGCTCACAGTGAGACAAAAAATGTAGGACAATTAGCTCCTATTTCCTCGGAGTAGTGTACACTGGCATAGCATATGTATGTACACATTTACATGTGAATGACTATAACAAAATACACGAACACTCAAGCCAAAGAAAGACCTGATTAAAGGCATTCTAATTTAAATAAGAGAAACACTCAGTTTGAGTGACAAGTAAATTGCTAGAGGTATTTGCTAGAGGCAGTCAGAAACCCTCAGAGATCTACTGGAAATCAGTCAGTAGATATATCTGTAGATACAAATCTGTCCTCTGGCTTGCAATACAAAAAAAACAAGAAAATATGGCATCTCACCTCACCTGGCTTTGCCAAAGAAACAAAGGGGCAGTGGGGCAAATCCGTTGGCCCACACACTGCTCCCTTGTGACGTTTTCCCCATCACATGTGATAAGTGTTGCCTGAGTTGCAAGGATCCGTGCTGGCTGCATTGGAGGGTAGGTTCCCATGTTGGGAGAGAAGTGTTGCATGACGCTTCCACTCCAGTTGTGGGTGGGGCAAAGTCATGGGATGGGCAGCACGCCTATCTGCTGCTGGACTGGTGGAGAAGCATCCTAGGATGCTTCTCAAGCCCTGTCTGATGAGGCCATTGCTCGGAAAAACTGATAGAAAGCACTGGATTTTGGGTATCTCAATCCAGGTTGAAAGTGTGTACCCATGCTCTGTTGTCAAATTGGATAGCAAGAAAAATATCAAAATGATCGGATAGTTGGGTATTTATTTATCATGTCAGGAGTGAACCAAACAGTTGTATTGTATTAAAACACACACACACAAAGTTTGCAAACTTGGCATTATTGAAATTACTGTCAGGTTGGTCCTAAAAAGGTCAGTTGGTTGGTTTGCTTGTTTAGTTGCATGCTGCAAGTCGCTTCTGGTTGTTTCTGGAGTGAGAGAATCAGCTGTCTATGAAGATGTTGCCCAGGGGATGCCTGGATGTCTTGCAATCCTGTGGGGAGGATTCTCTCATGTTCCCCTGATAGTTGGGTATATTGCCTTCTTGAATGTGTTGGGTTTTTTTTTCTTAGATTGTTAAACATTTTCTGACGTTACTTTCCCCTACAAGCTTCTGGCATGACATAATGGAGCTTGGAAAAGTTATCTTTTGGACTACAACCCTCTGAACCCCTGCAGTGATATTCTAGGAATTGTTGGAGAAAAATAACTTTTTCAGTCTCTTCAGAAATTACCATGGCATTCAACGGGATGTGTATGCGTGTCACAAGTTTTACAGATACGGATCATTCTTTTATTGCTTTTACTCATCATATTTCCTGTTCACCCTGATCATTTGCTGATAAAGAATGAAAATAAAAGGATTCCTTTGTCCCCAAATTGGCATCTATTTGCCAAGGAAATGGGGTCCAATGATATATAAAATTAGAAAATACAGTGATGCTAGAACTGATGGTTGAATTAATGGGTTCCCACACACTGTCCAAATGCAAAAACAAACACACTGCTTGGATAGATACAGCTGGTCACACATGTTATTGAACAGTCATGACCGGCCCATAACTACTTTTCCTTTTCTGATTTATGTTAAATCCAAAAGGTAGTTGAGAAATAAACAACAGAGCTTTTTCTCCAGTAGGAAAGCTCATCCTCCTACTACACACACAGGTACAGTACAGGTAGTACTAGCATGTAGACGCATAGCCTGATTTGGGAGGAACAAAAGACATGGCTTTGTTACTCTGCAATATTAGTGTGCAAAGGGGTTTTTGACTGAAAGAATGAAGTTGCCAGCACGGGCATTACAATAGTAATGAATATGAATATGGAATAGTTATGGATCTGTAACTCGAGTTTATGTATCTGTAAATGCAATGCAGAGGACCAGACATTATTTACTTACCTTGAAACCCATTCTTAAAAATGGATCCATATGGTAAGAGTTCTGGGATATATTCAATGTAGCCTCCTACGTAAAACTGACTGAATACATTAAGTCCAACCAGCTTTCCTGGAGATGTAATGGTTTTATTTTCTTGATCATCCACCTTTAGGGCATAGAAACAAGTGAACAAACAAAAATATGTTATCCTTAGCAAATTAAATAGGTATTTCTCACTACTATATTTCTGCATGCTTCCCAACAGAATTTTTTTTAACGTGAATTAAAAATGAGGTTGGGGAAAGGAAATTATGCAAAAGATATTTTATACTACAGCCTTAATTCTCTTCATTTTCAGTTCAACATAAGGTGATTTAAAGAATTTCTAGACTTGTGTAAGTACAGCAAGTTTTTTTTAAAAAAATATATATTCACCTTGACTATAACAGAGTTTTTTAACTGTGCACCCCAACTCAATGTCCCCTCTTCAGAGTAGGAGTGGTGGCAGCTGCTGCTTTTATCAAAGGAGGTGGAGGGAAGCCCAGCTCAAGCTGTAAAAGTGTAAAGGGAAAGGAAGTGGGGCCCAGTCAGGTAAATGGATGAAGGATAAATAAACCATCCAGAAGAGCAGGAGAAAGAGGATGAGGTAGGATGAGGAAAGGAAAATGAGGTATCTGAGAAGGAGGAGGAGGAGGAAGAAGAAGAACCCTGGGAGCCACTCCAGGCATTTAGTATCCTTCCTTCTCCTCAACCACACCTCCTAGCTTGAAAGAAATCTGATTTTTTTGTTATTTTAAGGATTGCACCTTAATCTTCCTGCAGAGTTAGGCTTGCAATAGGATGGGCCCTCTGCATCCAAAAATGCAACCATCTACTCTCAAACGTTGACTTAACCATTTATACAAGGGACAACATTTTACTACGCCCTTGAAGTATAATGGGATTTGAGTGTCCATGAGTTTTTGACATCCTGCTGTGGGTCCTGGAACCAAACCTCAGCAGATACAGAAGACCACTGTATTTTACTTAAAAGGTTTGATTTTATGTACTTGGAAGTTAGGCATGCCCTAACTGTTATTGCTGTGCTACAATTGATTCTTCATATCCACAGATTTAAACATTCAATATTCCAAAAAAGTTTGATTTGTATACCTTTTTATATATCTATATATCTGGGATCACATAAACATTTCTTGGACAAAAAAGGGTTGCAAGTTGAAAAAGTTCAAGAAGTCCTGGACTATAGCACCATCTTGTATTTTGGAGTTCACTGAAATATCAAGAGCAGCTTGTAATCAACATGGACGATGAAGATGGTCAGGGTGATGGAGCTACTTTTGAAACCCAGTCTGTTAGGTCCAGCCTTCAGCTTGAAGTATAGTAGGCCCTTAGTTTCAGCTGAGGTTTGGTTCCAGGACCCCTTCTGGATATCAAAATCCATGGATGCTCAGGTCCCATTATATTCAATGCCATAGTAAAGTTGCATCCCGTTTATAAAATGACAGCATCATATTTTGGATGGCTTTAATTCTGTGTTTTTGCATGGTAGGGAGTTGATCTTTGTGGTCTGGGTGACCCTTGTGGTGTCTTCCAACTCTATCTATATAAATAAAAATGTAATGTTCATTTGTGGGATTAGCATAACTCAAAAACCACAGGATGAATTGACACCAAATTTGGACACAATACACCTACCTATCAGGCCAATGAGTGACCATCACTCATAAAAACACTGAAAAACACAGTAAAAGGGACTTAAAAAAGCCAAAAAAGCAAAAAGTTACTACAGCACATGATTCCCCCTGGCAAACAAAACATACAATAGCATATCCATATTGTCTTCCGGACTACAGCTTCCAGCATCCCTTAGACCAGGCCCTTTAGGAGAGGAAGATGACCCAAATGCACTTCTTCCAAGCTGCAAGCTTTCTTCTTCTTGGATTTCTTTGAGAGCATCCCAATCCCTGCATTTATTTATTTATTTATTTATTTACTCCATTTGTATACCGCATTTATCAGCCTGCGACGGCGACTCAATGCGGTTTACAGTAAAAAAGGGAACACTGCATATGTCCAATTTCCTATTCCTGGACTGCAACTCCCAGCAATCCTCCAGATAGATAAATTAGAAAGAGAGAGAGAGAGAGAGAGAGAGAGAGAGAGATAGATAGATAGATAGATAGATAGATAGATTAGGAGGACTGCTGGGAGTTGCAGTCAAGGAATAGGTCGAGAAGGAAGAAAGGGGAGAAAAAGGAAGGGAAAGAAAAGGTGGGGGGAAGGAAGGGAAGAAGAAGAGAAGGAAGGAGGGAAGGTTGGCCACAGCAACGGGTGGCAGGCACAGCTAGTGATTCTATATAATAATAATTCAAGTCAATAATGGCAACCATACCTCTTAGTCTTTTTCATTTTACTGTCACAATATGCCTATGAAGGAGGTAATGCAATTAGAGAGTGGCTTCCCAGTTAGTCACCTTGTGAGCCCCAACCAGTCTTTTAAATGACAGTTCCTGATAGCAGTTCTTTTGAAATGATTGTTACCTTCATCCAACCATCCTGAAGACATCTTCCCAGCCTGACAATGTGAATTTGACGTGTCAGATCTAAAGGCTCACTTATAATAGTCGCTGTTCCAGATCCCAGGTTGTAGCTGTAGACCACGCTGCCATTTCGCAGGCCAAGCACAAGGAAGTCATCACCATTGAGACCTACAATAAAAATAAGGATTGTGTGTGTGTTTCCAAAGGACACCCATGATATGTGTTGTGCAATCCACTTAGACTTAGTGGAGAGAGCTCTCAGGAGACCAAATGCATTTTTCTTATAAGGGGGCTTAACAATGGATAGAAGCAAAGTGAAACTGCACACACACATACAGATATGATGACTTACACTATCACTTTCCCTCCTGGCATGTCTTTTCTGTCTTTCTTTTTATGATTAGTTTTATGTTCTTGGGTTGGCCTAAAAATGGTATCACTGGTAGTAATCCTTGAATAATTATTTATTGCAGACATATATCACCTATGGTTTACCTGACAAAAGAGATACTTGACAGCTCTGCTACGGGCAGTAAAAAGATTGCCAGTAATAAGTATGATTCTGATAACCTCCTGTCAAAACTCCAATTCAGTGTTGTATCCTGAATGCACACAAACATATGTAGCAGGCATGATATTCTTCAAGAGGTTGCTCAACCTCACATTAGGCTATGCATTAGGGAAAGCTTAGACAATTAAAATCTGAGAAATTTCTAAAAGCCTTTCTGAAAAGCCAACTCTCAAACTTCATTCTTAGGCAAATCCTTCACATAAATGACCTGAACATAGAACTATGTCTAAAGTAATTCTATTTCATGGGACCGTGAAATAGCTTTCTAAATAATAAAAAAAAGGTCCAAAGAAAATTAAGATTTTTTTTCCATGTCAGGAGCAACTTGAGAAACTGCAAGTCACTTCTGATGTGAAAGAATTGGCCGTCTGCAAGGATATTGCACAGGGGAAACCCGGTTGTTTGATGTTTTACCATCCTTGTGGGAAGCTTCTCTCATGTCCCTGCATGAGAAGCTGGAGCTGACAGGTGGGATCTCACTCCATTCCCCAGATTCAAACTGCTGACCTTTTAGTCAGCAGTCCTGCCGGCACAAGTGTTTAATCCAGTGGTTCTCAACCTGTGGGTCCCCAGACGTTTTGGCCTTCAACTCCCAGAAATCCTAACAGCTGGTAAATTCGCCGGGATTTCTGGGAGTTGTAGGCCAAAACACCTGGGGACTCACAGGTTGAGAACCACTGGTTTAACCTATTGCACCACCGGAGGCTCCAAGAAAATAATAATAGTGTGAAAAGAAACTTCTGTCTTTTGATTTGAAATAAAGCTTCAGAGTTTCTTTTGCTTGGGCCATGTTAATTGTAATGTGTTTTTTCTTCTTTTTAAAATAATATCTATACATGAGAATTACAAGACAGCAGACGTGTACTCTTTTCTAGTAAGATTATTTGACCTATTTATGAACTATTTGATGCCATCTTGTATAAAAAAAACCAACCTGGTTTTGCTGAAAATTTATTTTTTTCCAATGTTCTGATGCCATCTGGTGGTTATTCACAATTTCTCTTCATGAAATATTTAGATTCCTCTTACCCATAAAATCACAATATCCCTCATAACCATGTTTTGGTCTTTGCGTGACTTATTATGAAAATGTGTATATGTGCATGGAAGAGTGTTTGTGCATCTCTACCAATATTTTTCAGAGTAAAAAAGGGCTGAAGCAACCTCAGAGTATAGTCATTAGGCAAGATGAAAAACATTATTAAGAAGAGAAAATACAAAAGCTAGGAGAAGGTACAACAGTTTGCTTTTACCAGAGTCTGTTGGGAAGGGCAAGATTTATCCCCTCCATTCCTTTCCCTTCTGCTGAACTAACTGAGTTTAAATTACTTTTGTACTTTGCAATCCATTTTGCAAAAAATGGAAGTAAATTGTAAACAAAATGGAAGAGAGAGAGAAGGTGGTAATTGGGACATTTTAAAAGCAGCTGAAAAGTGGGATAACAAGGAATTAAATTGGGACCATCCCTGCCAAATCAGGAGAGTTGGAGGTACAGTTTAGTCCCAGGTTTAGTTAAACTTTTTAATAGAGGGCCGGTTCACAGTCCATCAGACTTTTTTGGGGGGAGGGTTAACTATAATTTTAAAAAATGTACATATTTAAAATGAAGAATAATTTAACCAAATCTACCAGTATTTCAATGGGAAGAGTGGGCCTGCTTTTGGCTGATGAGAGAGTCCAGTTAATTAGGATTGCCTTCAAGTCATTTCAGAATGAGGACGGCCGTAAGTCTAAAGTTTAGGGCAGGGGACAAATAAATGACCTGGGAGGGCCACATCCGACCTGCGTGCTTTAGTTTGGGGACTTCTGGTTTAGTCCCTGAATTGATTATAGGAAATTTTTGAATCTCACCTGGAATGACCGTTGGGCAGCACCTCTTATTTCAAAATCAGCTATGGCCTAAACTGCTGTTTCCAGATTAGAGTAGATCTGTTCAATGACATTGCTGAATGGTAAATCAAAGCCTAAATATAATTGAGTCAATTGATTTATTTTGTTGGGGACAAGCAATTGCTTTTAGGTTAGCAACATTACAGATGAATTTAAAAGGCTGATCAATATAGTAAGTTGTTTTTTTTCTCTTACATCTCATTATAGTGAGATGTGTATGTGTGAAATAGACTGTGCCCCTTAAGATGTTATTGGACTGCAACTCCCATTGCTCTTGGCCACTGGCCAAAGAAGAATGAGTTGCAGTATAACAGCATTGTGAAGAGGTGTTTCCAGAAATAGTTTTTCCATGAAATGATAGCATAACAAAACCTGTTGGAAAAGACAAATGTACATGCATCTGCACTCATAGTTTTCCGTATGTCTGGAAACAGAAGTCTAAATATGATGTATAGATCATAGAATCATAGAATCATAGAATCAAAGAGTTGGAAGAGACCTCATGGGCCATCCAGTCCAACCCCCTGCCAAGAAGCAGGAATATTGCATTCAAATCACCCCTGACAGATGGCCATCCAGCCCCTGTTTAAAAGCTTCCAAAGAAGTAGCCTCCACCACACTCCGGGGCAGAGAGTTCCACTGCTGAACGGCTCTCACAGTCAGGAAGTTCTTCCTCATGTTCAGATAGAATCTACTCTCTTGTAGTTTGAAGCCATTGTTCCGTGTCCTAGTCTCCAAGGAAGCAGAAAACAAGCTTGCTCCCTCCTCCCTGTGGCTTCCTCTCACATATTTATACATGGCTTTCATATCTCCTCTCAGCCTTCTCTTCTTCAGGCTAAACATGCCCAGCTCCTTAAGCCGCTCCTCATATATGCAATTAGGGTGTCCTAAGACAGAATCAACTTGAAGGCACACAAGAACAAACAAATATGAGGATTGCTAGGCTAATTCTATTCCAGGCTCTAAGGGCCCTTCCAAATAGCCACATAACCCACAATATCAAGGTAGAAAATCCCACAATATCTGCTTTGAACAAGGTTATCTGAGTCCACACTGCCATATATTAGAGTTCAAAGCAGATAATGTGGGATTTTGTTCAGCTGTGTGGAAGGGGTCTGAGATGTCAAGGCCAAAACCTGTGCCCAAGGGACAGCACAGGTCTATTGCAGGGGGCAGGTGCTAGTGGTGTCATAATAACTGATACTCCAATTGTCAACCGCAATATGTCATTTATATTTTTAAAAGCGTAACAGGAAATTGTATATGCATGTGTATGTATATATACACTCATATTTACAGATCCACCACCAAAGCCCTACTTCTGGAAGACAATCATATTCGGCCACAAGTGATCACATATGATGAAGACACTCTTACACACATTCATGCCCAGAAAGACCACACCAAGACCTGAGACTGGGACCCTATCATATTTGTCTGTCTGTCTCCACTGTCTATCTATCTCACCTGGTTTTCAAGTTGCTCTATAAAGAAAAAGAAAAAAAACCCATAAGTTGAAAAACTTACCTTGACCCTTTTGGCCAGTGAAAAATATTAAATTGTCTTGTATAGAATAGTTGTTGTTTGACAGCTGAAACTTCAGATGGAATTCATAGTGTAGGCTGATATTTGGAATAGCCGAATAAGCGAGGAACGATGTATAGCCAAAGGCATCTATTCCACTGAAGCTAGGATAGGTAATATTAATAGCTGTTTGAAAAAACAAAATCAAATGAAAGGGAAACATCTTTGTGAGAACAAATAAAAAAAGAGTCCAGTTCAGACGTACTTTTCTTGGCCAGATAATAGTTCAGAAGTGAAGAAGGGCAGTTAGGGTCATTTTCTCCTGCCTTGCTCTTGCTCATTGTAGACCAGATTTGGAGAGCTCAATCTGCTAAAATTAAACATGTAATTTTGGTCGGGTGTAAATTTGGTTGGTAAGGTGTCATTAAACCTTGGTATGGTTTAAAGTTGCTCTGTCCATATTTATTTATTTATTTACAGTATTTATATTCTGCCCTTCTCACCCTGCAGGGGGCTCAGGGAGGATTACAATGTACATATACATGGCAAACATTCAATACCATAGACACACAACATATATAGACAGACACACAGAGGCAATTTAACATTCCACCTTCATGAGGGTATTTTGTCCACCAGGGGAGCTGTCCCTTCAGCGTCCATTTGTGACACTGATGGAATACTTCCTCATTAAGCTTTTAAAAAGCAATTTTATTAAGCTTTTAAAATGCAACTGCCCTCCTTCATTCACTGATTTTTCACTGACTTTTCCAGATGTTCTTGTCATTGTCCATTTGTAACCTTTTCATGTTTTCCCACTGGTTCTTCCATCTGTTTCTCGACTCACAGAAAAAACATTACAAGAGAAATGATAGACTAAATCTTCCGCAAAGATTTAAAGACATGGTTGTTCTGTTATGCCTTTGACTAGACAACCCCCCAGATAGCTTGGCCCCAACTAGAACCCAATGCAATATACTATTGTTCTGCACTTAAATTTAGAATGCTCTATTCTCATACTGCCCTCTATCTCCACTGCTGCCATATGATCTATGCACTTTATCCATCAGCCCTATCCTCACAATTGTTTTTGCACCAGTCCGCCCACCTGTTCCCAGAAATGGATTGTTATTGTAGGGTTCATTGGTTGTTGGTTGATGTTTGCTTTTATATTTTGTTAAAATGTTGTTGTTTTATTTTGTTTTATGTTGCCATAGACTGGGGACTTTACGAACGTTAATGGTCTGCCGTGCTAAACCATGCATCCTTTCTTTGCTAGGTAATAAGAAACCTGCTAATGAAAGATGAAAAAGAAGGCAGTAGAGAAAAAAGTAGGCACTGAAGTTAATTTGCAGAACAGGAGAAAGCTTTTGTTGCCCTTTATAGCAGACTAGCTTCATTATATTTCCATCTTCCTGCTGTTTCTGTCTGTGAACTTAAAGGGTTTATTGGGTTCTGCATTTCTCTTACCATCATTACAAAGAATTCCAGTTCTTCCATAGGGGCAGAGACATATAGTGTCTTGGTCGGATTTGGGAACACATGTTGCTCCATTCCCACATGGGGTTTCTGCACACGTTGAAAACTGGCATAATTTTCCAGAATAGAGGGGAGAGCATTCACAGAACCAATTTTCTGTATCACTGAAAGATTAAAAGAAAAATAATCAGCAATCTCAGGAGTTTTTGTAATTTACCTGAGGGAAGTGGAGAATTTGTTAATCTTTTCTTTCTCAAATACAATACTTGGCAAACAATCTGTCAAAATCTGCTTATTCCTTTGCTCAAGGTTCAGAGATGTTTTCCAGCTTGTTTTATATGTGTATCTTTCTTGATACTTTATAATTTCACTAAATAAGTTCGAAATCCCTTTTAAATAAATACAGTGTTTCTATTTTCTGTTTATTCCCATTGATTTGTCAGCTTGTGTTATTCTCTGAGAGCTGCTTATTAAATATTTGTAGTGTCACCCCAGTTAAATGCCAAATGTTCTGTGCCAAGGTTGAGAAAGGCTGCATCAATACACAGGTTAGCACAAGATGGAAAACATGCACACACATTCCTCATGTCATCAGGCTGCAACTCCTATGATTCCTCCTGTCCTTTTTCTCTCAACCAACACTGCTAAAACTTAACTTGTAACCTCATCACTATACTCACAAGCTTTGCATTAGCTATTCACAGAGAGAGGCTTCAGATAAAGGTTTATTCCCAGGCGCTTCACTCTACACATCTGAGAAAGTAGGTTTAGTCTATGAAAGCTTATATAAACAACGTTCTTTTAGGGTGCATCTACATTGTAGAAGTAATGCACTTTGATGCCATTTGAACTGCTATGATGAAGTTTTAGGGAATCATGGAAGTTATAATTTGGTAAAGGTACCAGCACTATTTGCATTGCCACATAAGGATAAAGATCTTGCAAAACTATAATTCTCATGATTCCATAATCCTGAGCTATGGCAGTTAAAGTGATGTCAAATTACATTCATTCTACTGTGTAGATGCACCCTAGCCTCTGTTGTATTAGAAGGCCCCTTTGCAAACTAAATTTCCTTGGCATGTTCACATTCTGATCACATCTACACAAGAGCTAAATTGGTCTTGAAGCCAGTTTGAGATGTCTACAAAAATGTAGACCTCCAATGTAACCTCCAAGTCATATCCAGTCAGAAACTCTGTTTCCAGATGAAAGCATAAAATCCACTGCAGCTCATCAGGGTATAACCCATAGAGTGTTGCAAATTGGAAGAAGCATGCAGAGTGCTTGTCAGGACAGGTTTAATGCTTCAGGAGTTGCAGGGAGAACTCGGATATGAAGCTTGAAGTGAAGGTAAACAAATGACTCTCCCTGTCAAGGAAAGCCAAGTATTCCCATGAGAACACTCCATTTCAATGCCTTGCCCTACTGCAGACAAGTACTGATCAGCTTTTATCAAGCTGAGAGGAGCAAAACCACAATCCTGGATTTGGATGACTCCAAAGCAGGCTATATTTGCAGTGCCATAGAATCCAGTTTCTGTATCCAGATTATCTGCTTTGAACTGGATTATATGAGTCTACACTGCCATATAATAGAGTTCGAAGCAAATAATCTGAATTCAAAAACTGGATTATACGGCATTGTAGATGGAGCTTTGTGGGCTCTGTGGCAACTTCCAGTCAGTTCATGGGATGCCTGTATAGGCACTCTGAAGTGAACTGGATTTTTAAAATTTACATCCTGACCCAGAATAAATGGCTGTGTGGACACAACCTCAGCAATCATTTTAGTAGGATTAGTAACCATGCCAGGATCAAAAATCACAATATAAGCCTGACTTGTTTCTGGGAAACTGGAATTCGGAGAGCTGGTGATGACTTTTTATGCGTGTAACAGCTTATCTGTGTTTTAGCTATACTATCTCACATGGATTCAAGACAGATATTTATTTTACCTTGTTCTGAAAAAACTCAAGTAGTATATGCACTCCTCCAGTTTTATAATAACCCCATGAAGTATAGGCTGAGAGATTATGATTGCCCCATACTGTAAATTTCATGAGTGACTGGAAATCTGAAGTCTGATCTTCTCACTTTTTATCTCATATTGCATCCACTCATGCAATCCTAACTGTCTGCAGCATGGTATCAATGATCATGCTTTGCTCCCAGCATTCATTATGCAAAAGAGGCATTGCTCTTGAAAATAGATAATATCCTAGGTAGTACTTGGATGGGAGCCTACCAAGGAATACTAGGTGTGGTAGGTTATATTTCAGAAAAAGGCAAGCCACCACTGATAAAACCTTATGGAATATATGGAATCATCATGTTGACAGGTGGCTGGAAGACAATGTAGAATAGTAAGTAGTCCTTGAACTTAAATGTTGCCTGCATAAATACCCTCAAGGCACCAGATCTGGTTTGATCTTAAAAGCTAAACAAAGTCAGCTTTGGTTTCTACTTGGATGGGAGACTGCCAATGAATATTTGAAACTTTCAGTTACATTTTAAAGGAAGGAATCGGCAAAACTACCTCTGAGTATTTCTTCCCTGAGAAAACCCTATAAATAAAATCTGATAGGCGGCTTGGAAGCACATAACACACAAATACACACACCTAAACTTCCCAGTTTTAAGTCTATCTCTCAGATTAGCTCTCAGATTTTATTTATGTATAGAAAAAATGTTTATGCAGTCTTTTGAAGTGAAGCCATCCCAATGCATTTTACAAGCAAAACTATAGATATTATCAGATTATAAAACCATAAGAAGAATACAGTAAACTAAAATGGCAGCATAACATATTTCTATAAGTAACAGCAGCAGTAACAAGTCCAACTTATAAAATTAAAACCCATAAACTTTCTTTTAAAAAGCAGATTTAGCATCTAGGGTGCTTGCACACTGAAGAAATTAAAACATGTTGGCACCATTTGAACTACTATGGACCAAAGATATGAATTCAGGGAAGCCATACAAAGTCTTCAGGCTTCTCTGCCAAAGAATGGTGGTGCCTCATCAAACTACACATCCCAGAAATCCATGGCATTCAGCCATAGCAGTTGAAGTGGTATTGAACTGCATCAATTCCAAAGTGTACATGCATCTTAGGTCAGGAGAGGGAACAATATAGACTCTAGAGCTTGTTGCAATGCATTTTCCAGAAATCCTACCATTTGTCATCATTGGCCATGATGACTAAGGTTGCTGGTTGTTGAAGTTAAAAAAAAAAGAACATGAAAGGATTTTCATCCTTAATCTTTGCCAGTGGTTCTCAGCTTGTGAATCCCCAGATGTTTTGTCCTTCAACTCCCAAAAATCCTAACAGCTGATAAACTGGTTAGGATTTCTGGGAGTTGTAGGCCAAAACACCTGGAGACCCACGGGTTGAGAACCACTGTTCCAAGCCATTATAGATAATTTTAAAATAGTCAGGGATGGACGTACACTTCTTATGCTACTTTATGCCATTAGGATGGTACTGCCACAGAAAAGACAGTATTGCTTGCACTCATCAACTTAATACATCTGAACAGCAGACATATGAGAAAGACTATAAAATTGATCATTGGTTTGAAATAAATTTAAAACATACTAACATCAGGATTCAAAGGTGCTCATCAGTACTTTAAATTCAGACTATCTCAGAGATGCACTAATGATCACTCATTGTACAGAATGGGTAGTGAGCATTCTGTTCACCCAGAAATGGGAGCAAGTACACTGTACATTATATATGTGCTGAAGCAGCCCCCCACAAACCACAGAAAATTTGGAAATGTATGAGAAATTTGTTTTTCCTCTAAGCTATGATGAACTCGTTTCTGCTTGTAATTCTTGTCTTGAGGAACAAACAATACAATATAATATAGATCAGAAACAACTTGAAGGCACACAAAAACAAAATATAATATCCAAAATGAAAATAAGACATACAGTTGAAGTGTTCATAGAAAAAAACATGCAAATGTGAATTTAATATAAAACACAGTGTTAACACAGTCTAGTCTCTGAAGTGACTAGACTGAATAGCCTGCACACATCTAAAATATAAGCAAAGCAAGGGATCGCCCTCACCCCATTAAAATAAAACAAGGCAGATACAACAGATCAAACAGACAACGAGTGGAAATGTGAAAAGTAGTGAATTCAGTAATATGAATTTCATAGATGTGCCTGTTGCTACACAAATGCTTGGCCACAAGCTAGCAGAAAATTGGGAAACTCAGAGATAGTCTCCTTAAAAAATGAGATTGACTGCTTAGACAATGAAAGAAAATATATAGCCGGATTTGGAATAGGAAATCCATAGAAGAGGAAGCTGCATTTATTAAGGGGTGAAAATAAGTAACTCTCCTGACTGACAGGGATGTGCCTAGCAGTTCATTAGTGTGTTTCAAAGCTGCCCACCCGCAGTTCCAAGGCAGAGAGAATCTCAGCTGGGAAGCCCACCAGAATGAATCTTCTTGAATAATGCCTCCGTCAGAATGACTTTTAAAAGGACACTGCCATCAGCTGCAATAATAAGTGTCTATGAATAGCCCATTGTATGTAAAGAGCTACTGCTGGAGAACAGCACAGAGAATGCCAGTGGATTGTCACTGCAGACCTTGCATCTTCAATCATTTGGATCCCTGTGGTGTGCTGCCCATTTGATCAGGGAGGCAACAGTCTTTCAACTGCTAGTCACGGAGGGTTCAGTCTAGTGAAGTTGTTTTGGCCTTTTTTTTTTTTTGTAGAATCCCACAGGCTAAAGTTGACAATGTTGTTGTTCAGTTCCCATTTGTTCAAATGGGCTGCTTGCAGTGGAAAACTGCCTGGCAGCTTATGTCTACAGTGCTGATATGGTACCACGAAGAAACAAGGCCCTAGACCAGGGGTGTCAAACTCATTTTCACCGAAGGCTACCTCAGTCTTATGGTTGCCTTCAAAGGTCCATTTGTAATTGTAAGACTGTATATCTGTAACTATGTTGCTCTGGCATTGAAAGACTCGCACACCACTTAAAATGATATGGTGAGCCACATTTGGCTCCCAGGTCTTGTGTTTGACATGTGTGCCCTGGGCTGAGATTGTTGGGGTGCTTTGGAGGGAGGCAATATCAGCTAACTTCACAGTGTTGGTGTCTCACCAAATTACAACTTCCATGATTCCATAGC